TGTAAGTCGACGTTTACGTTCTTCAAACTACGTGGGGTCCTGAGCTTGGCTAACAGTGTTGATCTGGATGTCCCAAGCTCGTTCAATGTTTATACTAATGTTTTGCACATTTGGTTCTGACGTTGTATATGAAAAGTTACTGGGGGAAAAATGATTCACGGCATACGCTAGAAACTGAGATGGTTGGAAAAACCAACACTGCCTGTGGTTGCTGATCCCGTGGAAGTGTTACAAAATTGTTTGGTTTATAAAAAGCAATGGTTTTTTTTTGGTTTCCTTTAAATCAGTCAATTGATAGCCTAAAGTTGAACCCAGGGGGACATTGCCAAAAACAGTATGGGTAGCTGATGAACACTCCTGATCACTTAGTAGGTAAGAAAAAGGGGAATTTTGTTTTTTTCTGTGGAAATACAGTGACACATTTTTGTCACATCTTGCTGCTTCCACCCATTTAACTTGAGATGTTTACCCCGTGCATCATAAATTCTGCCAGTTACAGGAGCCAGTTTTTGTTTGCGACCTTGATCAGATGAAGCTTTGACAAAAGTGCATTTCATCACTGTTTCTGGATCAATATTTGTACCTCTTGGTTTATGCCACTGTTGTGGAACACTGGTACAAGTCTGATCTGCTGGGATTGCCATGATTTCAAGCAGACACCCATGATTTAGTAAGCACAACAAGGCAAAAACATGGTTACAGTTGCCTCCAACCTTGCAATTGAGTTATTTGTGTTACCATGTTACAGTATACCTCAACAACACAATACATCTTTTTACAAAGACATGGGTCAGACATGGAAATATGACTGAAATGTAACAATTTGTAATTGCACACCCCAAACAATGCAAAACATATTGATTTCTATTCAGTATTGAAAGGTGTTGGTATACACTAACCATTGAATTTAATAAAAGTATAATCGGAACTTTCAAAATCTGGAGAAAATATAATTGAAAATTTCACCTCGTCCGTCCTTTTTATTATTCTTATTAAAACGAATCATAGGGCAGGTTCAAAAAGCCCTGATAACTATTGTTTTGAATCGACCAAAGGCGTTTTGGCTTAATAGTTGTCTATCGATGTAGAAGTGGCATACAATCCTGACCTGTGGAATGTGACCTTCATGTACAACTGCGTGACAATACTATTGTAACTGCAGTGTTACTTAACGGTTATATTCACCCCGCTTTGCATGAATATTCTGCTTTTTTCACATTTCCTCTACCTTCTCTGTCAGCTATCTTCAATTTTACTCTGTGAGGAGCTTCGCTCTTCTTCTGGCTAAGGTAACAGCGGCCTTTCACTTCACTGGTTCCCACTCAAACGTGTTCCTCTTTCACGAAAACATTGTGAATGTAGTTTTTCGTGAAGAATTTGAAACCTTTTTGTCCAATTTCCTTTTTTCCACATCCTTTTAAAAAGTTTGCTATTGTGATCCAGGACACTTTTGCGAGATTTTGCCACGATTTTGTCCACACTACAAAAGAACTCTCCATCTTGAATGTTGTGTTCAACCAATGTAGTTCACGTGACCGCGAAGCTAAAGAGGTCGATTTTTGCGAAGGATTGGAATGAAGCACATTCTTCCCTCGGGTGATTTCCAAAATGTTGAATAAAGTTGTGCAGATAAAAGATACAAAGGTACCGGTAAAATCTGTGATTTTTTTTAAAATGATATTTACTTCAACAAAGCGCAAATAACACTTAATGACATGGAACTCTACTACCAACTATAAAACAGATGCCTGGTTAAAAGTCAAAACTTTGCTTGCTGTTGTGGCAGTTTACGTAGTTAAACATCATCAATAGCACAATACAACGCTGAACCTTTATCACGAATGATTACAACTGATTTACTTCTACACATCTGGTTTTGAAAGCTTTAATACTTAAGTTAAGCGGCCGGTAAAATTTTGAAAACTGACTTGGTTCTATATCACGACGGGCGCCTTTGACCTACTAACTTCTTCGTTTCTGTAATTTTCCTCATGACTTCTGTTAGTTTTGGTTGAGTATCCATAAGAGTGTTTTGTTGGATATTACGGACTAATGCTCCTGTTGTTCCCAATGGCTAACATCCTTGCTTTCATCGATCGAAGAGAGCACACGGAAAACAGC